CCTCTATAAAAATGATTACGCCGCCCTTATTTCCAGTCGTAAAGGGGTTGACTCGTAAATCGAACGTTGATTCGTTTCACGCAGAAGCGCCGCGGCGACTGCGTCGTTTCGTATCGCGCATTATTCCGGTCGGAGCGTAAGTTACGCGCGGCCCTGTTAGAAGAAATGCAACAATACGGCAGGGTGCAGCGACCGATAAGAAGAATGGAAGTTTTAATTTTACGAGAAACGGGAGCGTTACTTATCGACGTATCGTCGATGTCGAGTTATTGTTTTCGCGCGCCAGGAGCGCACTTGGGGTTCGGCGCCCGTTATTGCTACGAATCTCGCGAAAAGGGGTAACGCTCGATTACGCGTGGAAATTTAGAGCCACGTCGGGTGAGTTTGATTTAGAATCGGCTGTTCTGCGAGCATCGTGAAATATTCGGAGCCGTTCGAGCAATGAAATGTATTATACCGCGTCCATTGTCTCTGTAGCGACTTTTTGCGTGTACCTTTTATCGATGCGAACTTAGGGGGTGCCTTTATTGATTTCGAGGGCTGAGAGAGTAAAATAATTCTCATCTGAGGTCGTTGGGAGGTAGGTGAGCTACTTTGTGCGAGTTCAAATAAAATTGAAAAGGTATATGAAGATTGAAAAACTACCCCTAGATTTATAATGCTATCTTGAGGGCTGTTGGAAATATTGAGACTCTTTAAAAATATATTCCACGTGCGTTTTGACGATTGAAACTTAGAAAGATCGTCCCAGCACTCAATTTTGAGCACTTGTGACTAAACAAAATATTTGTCCTATCTTTAAAACCTCCACAATTCATCAAAGTCGAGAAATGAGCACTTTGTTTATTCTAGGGTGCTTCGTATATTTTCTGAAGCTCTCTAATAAATCTTCGAAACATTCTATGTTTGTAAAGCGTATTTCTCTCATTTCCAGTGGCCAGGAAATACTAGAACAAGGTGTGTACAACACCTCGACATACATTCGTTTTCCATTTCGCGGCGAAAGCGATCTGCGCGATATCGTAGCCCGAAATGCTCGAGTGCTGCGCTGTTACAGAGGTCTATGGGAAACGAGGTTCAAACGTAAAATATGTTCCCGTACACGGCCCAATTCTCTCGATAACGGCGCGTGGAAGTTTACCACGCGATATCTTTTTACAGCTACACGGCTGGCGACGGTGGCTCCTTTTACTTTTTATTAGAATATCGACTCGTGCCGATTGATTTATGGCGGATGCTTCGATCCGCGCCTCGACCAAGATGAGAATGTCCCGGGGCACGTGTCGCCATACGTCAATTTTGTGCCCGGACCGTATCGATTCGCTTTTTAATTTTCATGGAAATTTCACGGCCGAAGCTTAGCCGGCGAGCTCTTCCATTTATCTTCGCGATCCAGTTCACGCTAGTCGCAGCCATCTTTTTCCGAAGGAATTAAGAGGGCTTTTCTTTTGTCTCGCCTCGATCGATGAGTATTGGGAACTTGTAAAGGGGGACATATTTAATTTGATGGACTGTTCGCTGTCATCGACACGAACAGAAATTTTATTTGTGGCTTGCAGAAGAACCTTATAAATTTGTTTAACTTTTACTCCAAAATGGCGCAATAATATCCATGAAAATTAATAGAAATACATTGCATGCGAAATGAAGTAATCAGATTTAACTCCATGCAAAAAAAAAAATCAAATTTTATATACCTACTCCAACGCATATATATTCAGGAAATGAGCAAACATTTAATCTCGTGGCAGTTTTCACCAAAAAACGTTCCAATTTCCACTCTAATTTTCAATCCAACACCCTGTCATAACCCCCGCGACTTTGCTAATTAGCTCGCGTAAAATTCACGCCGTCTCGACGGAACCATCGACGCAGCACACCCCCCTGCCCCCAGGGTGTATCGCACACGAAAAAAATCAATTTCTCTGACCCAAAAACAAAAGTTAATTAAAATGTCCAAGCCGTCCGGTTCTCGAGTTAATGCGCTATTTGCACGTTCCGAGCATCCTTCTGACATTTGGGCGGTGATGAATCCCCGTCATTAACCACGAAGATGAGCCCATCCCCTGAATAGGGGTGGGTTCGCGCGAGGCCCTTTTTAACGCGGCCATTTGCGGGGAAACGCAACAGAAAATAGGTCGATACGATCTCATGGAAGCGGCCACACGGGCGCATTTATTATTGCAGGAGTGCTTTTCGTATGATCGCATCGACCTATTTCTCGTTACGTTTCTAGCCCGCAAAATGGTTGCCTTGAAAATCCACTCAGCCCCTCCAATATTACAAAAACAAACTTGTACTCGTGTCGTGTATCAATTTTATTACGATTGCGAGCGTTCATCGGGAATTATTCGCTTGGACATTCGGTGTTATTACACTATTGGGAATATAGGATGTCACGAGTACGGTACAATGAAATAATTGATATTAATAGTGATGTAGTTTGAAGCATTCATTACAGGGATCTTAATTAGTATTCATCGGGCAAGTTATTACTTTTTGTCAGCTATATTCCAAAACTCTCGATGACGAGTAAAAAATGTAGAAATAGTTACGTGACAATATAAATTACAGGAGCAATTTATTGCAATAAGAAAAGCTTATGAATATCTTCCAACCCTCGAATACAGAAGTGAAACGCTATTAGGAATAATAAACGCTGTGTAATAAAAAAGGGCCATCGCGTGGGAAGAAGGTCATAAAACAACGAATCGTTCCACCACTCGGTGGAAAATGATTCAATTTGACCCCTCAGAGAGCGCGGTATTTCTCTGGCAGTCCATAAACGTGTTAACAGGTCGTGAACGACACCGATCATCCCCCCAACGCTCGCCCGTTTCGACGTTCATTTCCACCCTGTTTACTTGTAATATTTTTTCGCGCCCTCCCTCTCTGGCATACGTCCGAGACAGAAACTGGGGGAAGATGCACAGGGTCGCATTACCATAACAAATTCAACCCGAGCCGCAAAATATTTAGGATCGCTGATGTCTACCACGAGGGTAGCATTTAATAAACCACCCTTCTTTTTGCTCCCTCCAGATAGACGGACGCGATAGTGCCGTATGGTGGCTCTCGAGATTGGACACGCGCTCAACCACCGCCATTACTTGCATCCGTCTTAAAAAAAAAAGGGAAAACTACACCCCCAAAGGGTTGAGGGGTGTATCCACAGAAACTTCCGCCCGGAAATTACTTAACCAACGGACTTCGCTCCATTTCAAAGGAACATTCAAACCCAGAAAGAGCTCTTCGGTAAAAGTCCAGGTAGTTTACAGATTACGGGGGCCCGTCGTGGAAACTCACCCCCTTGCTGTCTTCCCTCGAGCCAGTTCGCAAACTCAGTCCCTCTGGCGAGTTTCAAGAATAATACTTTAGTGTTTTCTAACCACATGGATGATCTGATTTCCTTACTTTGCCGAAAAGCATGTGGGATATTATAATAAAAGCCATATTATTTTAATCTTTGACGAATTTTTAGATTAAAGTGGTAGTTTTCACGAAGGACATTCTTAGAGAATTAATAAATACTATGTACACGAAGCTATAACTCTCGAGTACCTTCATAAAACTCGAAGGAGGACTACTTTCTCATAAAAATTCCGTCCTTTGGGAACTTTTCCACTTCCCCAGTTTTACGGGTGGTTGATGAGTGGTTGCATTGTTCGTGGGTAGAAGAATAAGCGTATCGTTTAATTTAACTCCGATCGGGGCGCGGTATTCAAATGTCAGTGCGAAGTTGGCTGCTCGACGGAAACTGGAATCGTGTAAAACAGATTCCCCAATAAATCTTGAGGGTTGGCGGGGACAGGGGTGGCTGGGCGGTTCGCTCTAGTCTAATTTGTGGATCGTTCACTAAAAGGAAACTACGTCGTCTACAGGATGGGAGAGAAGAATTTATAGATACCCTAATACTGAAAACTCACAGTGAATAGTTGGTGAACAGAGGCGTCCAGGGGTTGAGGGGGCCGAGGGTGATAAATTTTGGAACTGACCTGACTTCACGCGTGCGTCGTTCCTCCCTCCCTATAGGCAAACTCGGCCGATAATTTTTCGGCTGACGTAAATCAAAACCCGTCGCGAAAAACCCCTGGCGTGAGAGGACGCCCTCATGAAAATCATAATTCAAGCAAGATATTACTGTTGTTAATAAGCGAAGGGGATGCTTCCCTCGTCGTTGCTCAAAGGGGAAAAGTTTTCTCGGAAATATCCTGTTTGTCGTTTGCCTCGTCAGCTTGTCTGGATGGTTGTCGTTGAAATATATTGTTGGTATTTTTTCATGGTCTTTTATGTCAGTAGAGATTTTCTGTTCCATATTATGGTCTCACTTGTTAACAATCGGATCACCTATGAATTCTATCTAAATTCCAGAATAAAAGCTTGAAACGAAGACAATAATGGAGTTATTTAGTCAATTTTTGTTTCCAACCATCACTTTTTCAAGAGCGACGAATTCATCGAACAAACAGCGATTTAACGAATGCAGAGTAACGAAGCGCAGCTAAGTAATTACTCGACCCGGTGTAATTCAACATTTATCCAAACAGATTTCTAACCAAGTGTATTTAATTAATCGCACGTACGTTTAACGTGTAATTAACAAGTAACAATTTATTCCTGCATTTACCTATCACTCATAAGCTACGTAAAATTTTCAACGATTTATTCGGACGGGGTTAATGTCAATTAACATTCAGTATTGCGTTCATTTGCGTGGATAGTACGTCCAATCATTCCAAGCTCTTCAAAGTAGAAATTCAATCGCCATTTACCGTATTCAAACATTTGTAATTGATGTTTCGAAAACGAATTCTATAATTTCGAGGATGGTATTAAAAATGATAGTAATGACTTCCTGATAAAATTTAATTATTCTAGTACTATTTCTACTTTCGCATATTGGATCGTAATTATTTTTTACATTCCAACATCCATAGAAGAAAATAAAGTTGATGTGATTCTTTGTTTTATATTAATATTCTTGATTCTTGTGCTCGCAGGTCAGAAGTCTTTTCGAAAGTACCCTGTGATCGTGTTCATCCACGGGGAGAGCTTCGAATGGAACAGCGGCAATCCCTATGACGGTACTATATTGGCAGCTTATGGCAAAGTCGTCTTCGTCACTATCAACTTTCGCTTAGGCATCCTGGGTAAGTAGATTAAGCACTGTATGGCCAGACACGTACCAGTAGTTCACCTCGGTAACTGAGTTCTTAAGGAGGATCAACTTGAGGGGGATTCCACGTTTTATGCGATTAAACAATCGAGTTATTTGTTGCTGTATTCCACAGTTTACGGTCTTTAAATGTTTCAATCAATTTTCTTAAACTTAAAATAAACTCTAAGATATTATACTCCACATTTTAAGTCAATCATATGTTTTTTTTTTCATTCTTCCTAGTACGCGCGAAAAAAAAAACAAAATAGATCATGATCGTTCTGCATTCGAAATTTCGTGGTGGAAATGCGAAGCAAGCCTCGACCTCTCGTTGGAAATTGATGAAATCTTTGCGAACACTCCACGCCAGCAGCCTTGCATACAATCAGGAATTCTGCTTCGTTAACGGCCGCGCTACGCTGCGCGATCGGTTTTTGATCTTCGACGAACTTCTTTTTATTTCACTCATGCATCTGTCTATCGATCCGTCGTAGTTCAGCGCGAAAAGCGTCGCCTTTCGTATCCTTTACAGTCAGCTCGTATAAATAACTCGGGTTCGAGCCCTTCGTTCACGGAAACTGTGTTCCAACAATTTCTACGGAAATTTTTATCCGTCCACGGCGTTTCAGACACGGTTGAAGTTTGCATAAATTTGTCCATGAATGTAGACTCGAATAAGTTTCTTAATGTACCAATAAACTTTGCATTCGTCGCGTGGAATTCGCTGCTGGCGAGTTCATCGGCGGATACGCGGGATTTTGGCAAAGGATGCGCGAGAATGGGGGTGAATCTAAATTCATGGCGTTTCTTTGCTCGAATACTTAAAATTATTAACAACTAGGGGACAATGGAGAACTTCCTCCAGCTTCTGGGGCCAGTATCTCAAGTTTTATTGCGAGGATACGTTTCGAAAGCTTTTTGAGGGAAATAATTTTAATTCAAATTAAATGTGTCAAGAATTTATTTTTATCAATGATGTACGTTTATCAGTGATGTTACTTTTAATAACTAAATCAACACTTGTAATTTATATTATAACTCAAATAGCACAAACATTGACCTCAAGTATAAATTCGCAATGTACCTAAATTATGAATAACACGCGAAAGAAAATTTGATAAAATCGAGGTAAATTCCATAGTAAGAATTCTCGAAACTCTGACGTGAGAATTTAAAAGCAAACATTTCCTTGGAGTATCGTCTACAGTGCACAAACTTCAGTTTCCTTCCTCCTTTAGTATTCCATATTTCTCGCGCAAAACATAACCGGGGTAAAGTCACGCGACACACAATCTGCTCCGCGGAATTTCTACCCCCCTACGTCCAATTACACGCTCGAACATTTATCGTCCGAAGAAAAACTCCTATTCATTACTCAAGGGCAAAAAGCCAACGACGACTGCGGGGACGGGGGACGTCCGTAAAATTTCATGCAACTCCGGGCAGTCGTATATCGCTTAAAAGGAAACTTCTCGATGGGAAAGGAGGCTCGTGGTAAAGACAAAGGCGTCCTTCTCGCCCTCGAAACTCGACGTCGTACCCCGTAACCTGCCCCAGTTCTTTAATCCAACGTAATGATTTTAAAAAGCAACTGTGCAAAATTATGCTTAGCATTCACCTGCGATTTCTCTCTATGCAGTCTGTTTCTTTCGGAGAGCACGGAACACTCATGTTTCTCTTTTTCTTTTAATAGTCGAGATATTTCAAGGGCATTATTTTTAATGACGGTATACTCTCACGACGTAGAAGCACGTGGAAAAACAAATTTAAGTCATTATAGAAAATACAGAAATTAATATACGAAATTCTGTTACATTCATTTAATATTCTACAGTCAGTTTGAATTCTCACCCGTTTAATTCTGCCTCGGGATAATTACTACAAGCCTGTTAATTTAATCTTGTAAAGCAAGGACTCTAACGGGGTGATCGTAAAATTTCCACGCAACCCCTGGCAGCCGTGGTTATATCGTCGAGAAGGAAACTTCTCGATGAAGGAAGGAGGCTTACGACCGAGACAAAGGCGTCCTTTTCGCCCTCGAAACATCCCATCGATCTCCGACCGCTCTTTTTCCACGGCCTGCTCTATTTTTTCCACCCTCCTGCCTCTCCGCGAACCCCCCATAACGACGAACTTCCGCCTATCCTTTCCCCTAAAATGATAACCGAGACCACCGTCGCGCAATGCAAATGGACGGACGATGCGAGCTGCAGCTCGCTACATCCGACAAGCGGGTTGCTTTAAGAGGAGTCGTGGTGGGGAGTAGAAAAAAAAAGGAAACGGAGGCTGCGAGACCATAATCATAAATTAGGTTAAAGTGCTGGAAAGGCGCTTAGTTAACCTCGCCCTCTCGCTTCCGCCAATGGTCTACAGTTAGCCAGCGAGAAGTCCACGGATAACTTCAGCCCTTTGCGAAACAAGGGTGGAAAAATATGGCCGCGAGGCTCGAGCAAAAAGAACGCTACGGTTGTTGGGCTAGTTTACATCCTCGGGGGTGATTTCTTGGTACACGGGGACGCGAAACCAACCCCGAGGCTTCTGTTTCGACGCTTTAACGAGGACACCGAGCTGTGAAACGAAATATGTCTTTTTTTTTTCTTAACTACTCCGTTCCGAGGCGAACTTAAATCTTGCGTAACGGGAAGCGTGGGCGAATTTGGCACACGCTGGACATGGATTCGAGACGGGCAAACAACACCTGATGCAATAGCTGTCCTGGCATAACACGGGCTAATTAAATGTAACCTAATTGGGTTTCCGGCTGGAGGGTTCGTGTTCGTCGTGGCTTGTTTGACAGACACGAGAATTTATGAAAAAGAGAGTACTTGGTTAATCGCTTTTGAATTTGTCAGACGTGAATGGCTATCGAAGAAGTTTGAGATAACGTGCTTCGATATTATCGTATTTATATTTGACGTGTTCTCTTTGACAGTATCAGCTAGAGGAGGAATAAATAAAACACATTGTTAGGGATGGGTATGATAAGTGAGGATAGCAAGTATTAAATTAATCAAGCCTCTACTCAGATATACATTCTTTAAATAAAAAGTTGAATTGGTATTTGGAATTGAAATTCTGCTTTCGTATACAATTTGGAAATGGCGTGCATCCCCTAAATTCAACCTAGGACAATAGTGGAAACAATAACGGCGAGGGTTTCGGTTCAATTAACATAAATCTCGTTGCAGGTTTCTTGAGGCCCGGTATCAGAGACGACACCACCAGCAATTTCGGTCTCCTGGATCAAATAGCCGCCCTCCTCTGGCTCAAAGAGAACATCGCCGAGTTCGGCGGCGATCCGAACAGCATTACGTTGCTCGGCCACGGTACCGGCGCCATTTTTGCTAATCTGCTGCTTATCAGCCCTGTGGCTAATAAGAAAGGTAACGGTTATTGCTGTATCGCGTGTTTGCGACTTCTGCGATACCTGAATATTAAGAGGACGCTTTCAAATTGGAGGGTGGGTGAACACGTTACCTCCATTTTCGTGAAATTGATACGAGCCAGGGCGTGCAGACTTCGATTTTCAGAAAAGTTTGGTACGACGACGGGAGAGGAGATCCCTGGAAGTGGAAAGACGGAAGCTCCTGGCGAAGTTTACGCAGTAAATGAATCATAATTAGATTTAAGAGAAATGTTCAAGCTGCGAAATTAAGGGTGTTCCAGTTTGGATGCGCGGAGTCTAGCGTCTCTGAAATTATATGAGATGGTAACCATTCTTACTGGGTTAAAATTTTGGTATTACGTCGATATACGTTACGTTCAGTAATAGGTTGAAAATGGAGAAAAATATTTTTAAAATTTGAAGCATCAATATTTCAGTATATTCAGTAGCATCTTGAATTATAACCTGTAGCCGTTGACAAAGAAGTACATCACACAGAAGCATTCCTACAAACATCATTCATCGTCCCCATCGTCATCCAAATCTTGTCCATCACCGAAACAAGTAGTACGAGTCAATTATCTGTCAGACCATTGTTTGACGTAAATCGTAAAAGACGTAACCATACAAGGTGTTAAGGATGACATGCCTTCTTCGAGGGCTGGCTCCCTCCCTCGAGGGATCGAAAAGGAAAAGAATAACCATTGTGTGTGTGGGGGGGGGGGGGGGGAGGGAAGAAAGGGAGCAGAACGACGGTCATTTTTCACCTTGCGGCGCGAGGGGAACTCTTCTCGTCCGCCTGGGGGGACACAATGCCGTCGTGTCCGGTCAATAATTATATTGTGCAATGAAAAATAACCGGACTTAATATTTTTACGCGCGAGGGCAGCCGCCTGTCCGTGTCTCGAGGGACGCTTGTTATTAATCGTCTCACCAACACTGTGCAGGTCTGTTCAAGAGGGCCATTCTGATGTCTGGATCAGCCCTGAGCGCAGACGCCATTGGGAAGGCGCCCCTGCAGATCACCAAGCAGGTACCAATCTCTTTATAAATATCCACCAAACATTTGTAACTTCTGAAGTTTAACTTGATCGATCGCGGTGCACGCTCACCATCTTTCATTCTGTACCCATGTTAAGGGGCGGTCATCCCTCAATTTTGGCACCGAAACAAACTATAATAACTGCGATCATTCTTTGTCCTGTGACAATACCTGCACAGGAAGAGATGAGGACACGACATAGTTTAGATGTCACCAGGGTATGCACTGGAGAAATTTAAATAATGAGTGGCCTCGAGTTGGAGGATACTTGTTTATTTGAAATGAAAACATGAAAATTTGTATACAGTATTACTTCTCAGATTTTCTTTAAAGTTCCTTTCTCCAAAACGATAGATTTCAAACTAACAGATACGATACTTTAAGAATATTATATTTCATGACTAACTCAAGCGCGATTTATTTTTCTGAAGTACAACAAATGTAAAAGTGACACCCTCGACAAAGTTTCCGTACGAAATTACCCTAAACTGAACTGTTTACTTGTTCCACCATCGCCCTTTTGATCCTCAACCCCCAAATTATAAATAGGCTCGTATCACTCACTCTAAATCCCACCAAAGATAAGCTCGGATCTGGGTGTTTCTCGAGCATCGAGGTATGCTCGATCTACTTTGTATTAACGGTCGACGTAAAAAGGGGTTGGAGAGGGGGAAAAGAAACGCCTAAGTCGCGACTCGAGCCCGACTAGAAGAAATATCGTTTCTTGTCGCGTCGAGGAGCAGTCGCGATCGTAGGAACGTTCATTGGGTTACTGAGAAATGGCGCGAATAATTTTTCAGGTTGCGCACGCTTTGAACTGTCCCACCAACACCGACAGCGACCTGGCGCTTTGTTTGCGAGACCAAGACGTGAGCACGTTGCTGGACGTGAAGATTCACAAGCCCAAATACGTGCCAGCATTCGCGCCGCTGATCGACAACGCTGTCATCCCGGACAAGCCTTTGAATTTAATGAAAAACTCCCAATTGTTCGGCAGGTACGATTCCAAATTCCGGAAGGAGCTTTGAGTTTAATTTTATTTTCGTTTAATATTCGAGGGACGATCTGATAGATGGATCTGAAATAACTAACGAAATCGTTCATAATTCCATCACTGGACTCTGAAAATTGTAATCGACTTTGCATCTTCCTATGTCCAGGTTCGACCTGATGTATGGTGTCACAGAATCGGAGAAGTTTCACATCCTACCGCCGGTTGCTCTGGTGCACGGGTTACTGGACGGCCAGAGGGACGAGGTTTTGAGAGATCATGCTAAGGTTCGTGCCCCATACAGTAATTCATAAATGTTAAAGACTCCGAGAAATATATTTTCATGACAGAACAATTTGAAGCCTTTATTAAAGTTTCATCTCCACCCTATGCAACGCTGCGATACAAAGCCCATATTAAACATTTTTTTCATCAAATTTTGAGTTCACCCTCCATCCAAAATGCCGGAAAAATGAAATGCTTGGTGATCCCTTTGAAAATAGGGCAATTTAATTAAAAAATTGTTGGAAGAAACGATGAGATAGCCCCGTGAAAATGAATTCCGCGAGACAAATTTTTGGCGCGTCAGATCCATCGAAAACTACGATAGACATTCCGTTGGGAAAGTGACGGGAATATTTCTTCGTCGCCAGGCAACGCACGAACTGGAACCAGAACTCGTTCTATCGAAGATTCTGGAACAATACGGCGACTTCTCGACTGGATTTACGAACGAATACACGACGAAGAATCGAGATCTGGTCCTGGAGGTGCTCTCCGACAGCGGGACCGTGGCGCCATTAATAATGACCGCGAATTTACATTCAAGGGCGAACCCGAAGAGCTACATGTACGTTTTCTCGCATCCGAAGGCGATGCAGGACTACTCTGGCGTAAGTACGTTTCTGTTCACACGTACCACCATCCGTTATTCTCCTCGAAAATTTATCGCGCGTTGGAGACAGTCAACGTTACCTTCAAAGAATGATTACTCCCGACTTTTAAACAAAAGCCAAGACCCGCACCAGACGCGAATATAAATTGGACCCCATCTAACTCCGACGCGTATGAGAATTTAACCCAGCCAGGATAAAACCTCGTGAAGTTCAAGTAGACTCCGGTTCTTGACTTGCTGATAATGGATTGTGAAACTACCTTGCATGCTATTTTTTGAATCAATATCAATTTGACAACTCCCCAAATCAATTAAAATTCTTGAGATTATCATATTCCAAAAATTATGGAGATTTATTGTAAATAATACACCTCTTTCCTCTGACCTTCCCAGGCCATTCTCAGCTTTGAACCTCATTTGGATATCCTGATTCAAACACATTCCAAATGGTCACCTGTCTCTTCCAAGTGTGGAAATTATATCGATTTAGCCTAGCTAATACACCTCTTTCCTCAGACCTCCCCCAGGCCTTCCTCAGCTTTGGACCTCATTTGGGTATTCTGATTCACTCTGAGACACGTTCCAAGTGGCCACCTGTCCCCTCCAAACACGACTCGCCTTGCCTGCAAGGACACCAGGGCTGCTGCTTCTTTTTACATCGGGTAGCAGCGCACTTAGTTCCCTTATCCATGCTCGTGTACCACCGAAGAAACTTCACGACGTTGCACCGGTGTCTCGCACACGCCGCAGTCTTCTCCCGCCCGCCTGACAAATTCATCCGGGTCAAGGATCCCGGAAGCCGGCAGAAATATTAAGGGAGCGCATAAATCGCGGCGGGCTCTTCCCGTCCGACGGTGGAAACTGGAGCACGTACGATTAGACGGTGTACTTTGCACTTTATTCATTTTCTCCCGCGTCGGATTCCTCAGCGACGATGAGGAGGGGATCAGAGGAACGCGACCTACTGGCTAGTCATTGTGTTCGTGCAAAGGGGCATGGCGGGGAGAAAAATCCCGGCTGCGAACCCATTTGGCCCCCGGCCAACTATTTTTATCGTCGCTGCGTGTCGGCCTGTTACGCTACGAGTACAGTGACCGGCGGTGTCGTTAAACCGAATGTAACAACGTTTCTGGTTTTCAACTCGGGGTTAGAGGGCTACTGGCGCCATTAGATATGAAATTTACGAACGATGGGGCCGCAGACGTTCGAGTTTGCGGTGTGGTATCGTTTAAACGTGATCACAAAACGGTGCACAGTTTGTCGGAAGGCAAAGGTAGAGGGAGAATTGTTCTTGCGGGCCCTGGGTTACGTCTGGATTATAGGGGTGGGTGTTACGAGTGATCGAGGATTTGCAACTAGGGGAGGTTATGAGCCGATTTAAGAATGTTGATACTTAGGTAAAAGGGGTACCGGCGATTTTATACCTTAGAAGTTGAGTCACTTCTGCTTTTAAATTTAAAAGCGTGGACTACTTAAGTTCAGATGATCCTATATTTACCATTCCACGTGGTTCAACCTGCTTTTCCTTCTTTGTTCTTCGAGTGTACATCCATTTAAGTCCCCGAATAAGTAAATTCCGCGTTCATTTATGCATCCACGGTATACAGTCTCCGATTTCGCTCAATTTCGCTGTGGATCGTACGTGACTAAATAGAAGGTCTGCGTTGGGTTGTTTGACACCTGGAGGGCAGGAAAGTGAGCCACGGCTCTTCATACACCTGCAAAGCTTCCTATTATCTCAAAATAACGTAAATCAACAAGAAGCTCGAACCTCAGCCCGAAATATCACTGAAATTACCAAAGGTTTCCAAGAGTGACCCGGGAGAAACACCCATCGAACGTATCGATTGGCCGGAGTTAGGAACCATTCTGATAAGTTACGATTGCACCGCGGTATCAACGAAAGTTAATAACAATGGTTTTCGAGAACGTGGGAGCACTCTTGGTCCGTTCTTATGGACCGCAAAATTTCGGGGGAAACTGGCCAGCGCCCGAAACTTTGTTTCGATGGGAAAGTATATCGAGTGGCCTCGTTATCGTTGCAGCAACAACGGCAGCACACGGTGCACGGCGAGGAGCTGCCCTATGTACTGGGTGTGCCACTCGACGGGAACAAGTACGATCTGCGTCGGCAATACAACATCGGGGAGGCTCTCTTTTCGGAGGCCATCATGACTTGGTGGTCCAGCTTCGCCTACGTGGGGTAAGTTCTGCGGGGTAGCTCTTTCAGGATGAGTTTTTTTTAGCAAACTGGAAGGGTGGGGAAGCAACCAAACGCATGAATTGTACGAAATAAAATATTTAGGATTGAGGTAGTCCAGGGGTAGAGGGTTAAGAGTAGGAATAAAATAATAGATTGTAAAATGAAGTGTTAGAAATTGACGTAGGTTACTTTTTATTTCATAAAATTATGTAGGTTCAGTTTTGATGCAACCGGGGCAGTTTTATGCTTCAAGGCTTTCTTTATATAATCCTGCAATTAAAATAATGTCTCTCGTGCAACCCTTGTATAATAATATTATCGAGTACCACAATGGCGTTGCGAGGGCCATCCTGGAGAGTAAAAAGATTACGGTCACCCTTTCCCACCTAAAAGCTTCTTCTCCCACACAATATCGTCAATGTACACAAGAAGTTACTACTAAATAGGTAAAATGACTAAGTGCACGTAAAATCGCTTCCTTCGTTTAAATAATTCAGCAAACGTGTTCATACGATGAAAACATTTACCGATTGTCATTCGATACTGATTAATCACGTTTCATAACTTACAGACCAACGCGTATCCGTAATAAACAACGCAACTATACAGGGTTCGGAGACCGGACCATTTAACTTACGTTTTAATTACCACGCATCGTTTAACTTGTAGAGCATTTTAGTCGATGCAATTTATAATTCGGAAGTTGACTTTCCCAAACGGAGGGAGGACCATTAACTAACGAGAGTTAAAAATTACTCTTTATAATTAATCGTCTGGCCTTGGACAAAGAGACGGAAAATTTAAATGCGCTCGTAAACCAGCCTTCGACTCTCGTAGTTGTAAACGCCCCCTTTTCGACTTCGAATATCGCTACAGCGAGGCGAAAAATAAAAGGAAGCGACGGAACGAGGGGAGAGTAGCACAATGGAGAGCCGTTAACACACAATTCTGGGCCACTGATGTCGCTTTCCAAGCGCAATGGCGCTAAAACCTCGAGCTTCGAAAGCTCTCCAATCATCAGCGACGCGTTCCAAACGCGCTCGAAACCGCGCCGCGCGCACAATGTGGCAGAAATATTGCGCGCGAGCATTACTCACGTCGACGCATTGTTTACACCAGCGCCACGTGAAATTAGTAAATCCGATCGGGTTTCGCGGAATTGGGAGCTTGTCTCGCTTATTAAATAATAAATTTGAGAACCGGCTAAGCGGGCCGGGGGTCGGGAGTGGTTGGGACGCGTGAACAACGGCGTCGACGCACGGGAAACATTTTGTTTTCCACGGGTACGTTCACGCGTTTACAATAAATCCCTCGGAGTTTTATAGAAATTCCGGAATAATAGGTGGTAACACGTGACAACTCGTTGCCAGAGGAGGAACAATTTAGTTGGGGATATCGCGAGGAAATTTTCAACGTCCTGAAAATTCATTATCAATCCGACGGGCTGCGGGAAATATAGGGTGTCCTTGATAATCTTGCGTGAACGAGGTGATTCGTCTTTGGAGAATTGGTTGTCAGCGTGAAATTAAAATTAAATATTTAAATACGTGTTTGGTTGACGATTCAACGAAGAGTTTTTCATTGATGAAAATCAGTTTATAGAAGAAGTTTGAGCAGAACAAAACAGCTGTTAATTATACTAAACATAATTTTCATAGAATTTTGTTATAAAAATATTCCACCTCGATTTTTGTAGCCTTCCGATTTGAGTGGTATTCGTGGATCACCCCGCATATACCGACGCAATTACGAACGCGATTTTCAATTTTCCGCGTCTTTGAATATTTATATTGTTCCTCTCTGACCCACTTCTGGCGACCAGTTATTGTATTCCCAAACAGAAAATGGCGCACGAGAAAGCAGCGCCTGTTAAATTACCGTTCGCTCCTCCGAGAAAAGTTGACAAAACGTTCACGTTCGAGTGTGCATTTTTGTATTTTGAGAGACGAATCGACGGAGGAGCGCGCGTTCGGTACCGTAACCGTATGCTTCGCCTCTATTTGCGCGCACAATGTCAAGAGGCCCGTTAACGTTTAATGAATAAATAAACAAGTACTTTGACTACCAATTTACGCGATATACGGTGGCTCAAAGTCCGTATAGACGGGGCGCTGATTTTGAAATTACGATGTTCTAACAGGTTAGAGGTATATTAGTATACATTGCGAATGAAAACTGCTTTGAAAACTACTTAAAATAACCTTCTTCTTAACAAGTAATATATACCTTTACTATCATTCAGAGCTTACTCAATTTATTGGTGTGTCCAAGTCTCTTTTTAGAGACCTCAGAAGCTTCTCCTTCGTCTCGGTCCATTTCAACGGTATCCAATCGACGGCCAATAAAAGTAACCGCCGAATTATTGTGTTTCCAACTCAGCTTTCGTACTCAATATATTAAAAAAACAAACCAGTACCGACATTTCATTCGAAAGTTTATTTCTATGTTCGGCGAGAAAAAATTGAAAACATTTCGCGATACTGTTCCCTGTATGGAATTCCAAAAAAAAAGGAAATAATTGATAGAAATTTTTATTTAAAGGCGGAGCGTTTTTCCCCGCCTCGTTTGACGAATAGCCATTGGAGTAACTTTAAACCAGAGAGCTTTCCATGCTGGATGAAGCATGAGCGGTCCTGTTTCGCTATCGAGCCAGGCCTCCAGCAATTTGACGCTTGTTATTCTGACGCAGGGTATTGGTGAATTAACGACCCGATGCGTCGGCCATTTTAATTTTCTCGATACAAGCAGATTACCTATATACACGCGAATTACTCGTACATTTCATTCCGACAAGGGTGGGGAAAGAGGATTTCCCCGGCAATCCACCCCGGATCGATTTGCCTGTTTTATCTTCGAAAGCGCAAAATTTCTCTCGTATTTCATCGAGCGCGAGATAATTTCAGAAAAGCAAACTACGCTGTCAGTTGCGTCTGTCAGTCGCCTCTTTTCGTCTGTCTCGTCCATTTGCGCTACGTTTACGTTCGGGTTTCCTCGGATCCACTATTAGCGAAGCAGTTACTGCTGTTTACAGCATGGTTCCATTATTTATTTAATACAGGAAACGTAGGGATGGATTTAGGCTTGTGTTGGTGCACGAGGTGATGTAAAGGAGGCGAGGATTGGGGAATCGAAAATTCAGCTGTTAAGAACCAGATACGCTCTTCATTAATTTCCTAAAAAATATTAATGTTGAATTGCAAGCACTGAAATTTTATCTCAAGACTTTCCTCTATTATTTATCCCTTCTAAAAATATTTTCGTACCTCCTGATCTAACACTCATCGGTCAAAGCATGCCACCGTGTTTCCACTCACTCATGTTAATTCTCACTTCCTATTTTCATGACATCTTACGCTCCAAGAGTCCTGGAAACTTCCAAGACTATGCGACTCCATTAATTCTCCCTTCAAAGGAAAAGCTTTCTATATCCTGATCTAACGCTCATCATGCCCTCAACGACTACTCGTTAAAATTCTTAGTCCCTGTTATCATCTCACCTCGTGTTCCAAGAGTCGCATGTTTCTTGGAATCTTCGACATACGCGGTGAGTCTTCCGCGATTTTCCGTGAAAACTGATACATATGCATCGCGGCATGTCGCTGGATCGCGGAGATCTGGGTCGATCCAATTAAGGAAAACAAAGCTGTTTAATGCACGCGGCCCGGAACAGACGCCGCGTGTGCACCACGCGCTCCGTGACGCCCGGCTGATCGATATCGCGCGTGACACTGTGTCCTCCTGGTAAGAATACGACTCCCGGGGGGTGTAGCGATGCACTCGATGCATAAGCGGAGGGCGTGGCGCTCTCTGTGCGAATCCGCGACCGGAAACGTGCTGGCGACCATTAGTAGAGACCCTTTAAAAGGTTACCTCGTTTTTCTCCCGTCTCGGTGCATACGATTGCGTGATTGACACTGTGGATCCCTTTGATCGCGAACGAGGTTATATCGAGGACGTCTCTTCATCTTCAACACCGATCTCTCGATGACTTTCTTCGATGGTTGTTACGTGATATATGGGCCTGTTTCAAATAAATAAATATAAGTATATAAATAAAAGCTAAATTAAATTTGGCTCGTTATTTATTCTGTTTAAATGAAATCACTTTTCGTATTAAACCGTTTTCAATTAGAATGCAATTATATGTACTGTCGAATGAATTACAATTTGAATGAAAGTGTATATCATGTGGCACCAATTACAGTTTGAATAAAATTATACTTTGCGTTAAATCAATTACGGTTTGAACGAAATTGCACTTTATTTCACGCGTGTCACTGTAGGGATAATTTATATTTCATGTTTAACGGAGGCTCAGTGACTGCTCGGGATCATCATTATTTGTTTAAATACATAATATGTAATACATAATACGTAAACATGAAACCGGAATAGATAAAGGCAGTGAATTTCAAGGACGTGACTGTACTCGACTCGTTGAAATTGTAGCCATCGATGGCGGAAAATTCCTTTCCCTTTGAGATACCTGTTTCAGAGGGAAGTTTCTCGCGCGTCGAAGGTGCGAACAATAGGTAACGAGAGAAGGGTAGAGTCACCCTCTATCAAAATTTCGATATTGGGCTGGTTTTCCGATATTTGAGCGTGGGGAAACGATATTGTTCTGTGCTTGTGTCGGAGACTCGAGGTACACGCGGAAATGTGTTTTTGTAAAGGTTTACTTGCTGGGAACATGGCGCGGAAACGATTACAATTTTTCACTATTTAACGACAGCGTTTTTCTTATAGGTGACAGGTCCTGTTACTTTTATCGATGGTATTATTTCGTGTACAGCATTAGAGAGCCAACGTTATTTACAAGCTTGCAATTTAGTTGACGGCTCTCTATTGCAGGCTCAATCGATAACTCGGTTCGCCAATTCCATAGGTATCGTCCAATTCCGAAGACCAATATTATGGACAATACTCGGAATGTTAGAATTTCCAATATTGGAACGGCGTAGAGTACACCGATGACTGGAGCATTGAAAACATTAATGTATAATAGCATCGTCGAAACGTATTGATCTTTCAGAGATCTTTCGTGAAGATGAAACAAGGATCGCCATTCAATTATCGAAGAAGATGCTTAAAATTCTGTTGCCTAACAAACGACAACCTATAATTTCCCAAAGCAGATGTAATACATTTTCAAACGACGTGCGGGCTTTAATTAAATGCGCATCAATGACTATAATATTCTAGTATCTCTAATTAAAATGATTAAAATGTATCCGAAACCCGCAAAGCAAATTAAATTCCATCTGGAATGTCGGTCTGATTTCATTACCCCGTTTGTACTTTACGTTTCACCCGTCAATATTCTGTACAGTCGATAAAGAAAGCTGTACTTGCAATTAGAACGCATCCAGCTGGCTGAACGTAGCCAGCAAAGCATTAATAATAACACTTTCTAATTACTGAAGTAAAGCTTGATCACAGAGAATTATGCAGCGGAAAAAAGCTATTTTGATCGAATTACTAAAAATATGGCTCTCAACGACCATTTATTCTTGTCGAACCAGGAATCCTAACGTTGTGAACCGCTACCCATATCTGACTGACGGGCTGAAGGAATGGCGCCAGTACGCGATCGAATGGCCAGAGTACGACCCGCTGAATCAGACCTACCTGAACCTCAGTAAGTCTGTTACGTTCCAATGTACGTTAATCTAGATCAGTTTGTTTATTAAGTGAAACGTCAGAAATGTGTAAGCTACTACAATGTGGAAAGCCAGTTGTCTTAGAGGCAGTGACGCTTACATGAAACACGCTCTTCCTATTGGCGCAGCGATACCACCGACAGCAGGCTCGCGCTACCGCTCGACTGAGATGCAGTTTTGGAACGAGGACCTACCTAACATGCTCCGTCATCCGAACAAAGACATTCCTCTGCCGATTCGACCGAAGGGGCCGCGACCGGAGATTCTTGACATAGCTGACGGGATTGGAAAGTACGCGAATGCGAGCACCAACAAGGCCTACGAGACCCAAGGCATCAGGTTGGTAGCTAGTCCCACGAGTGTAGCTTCTCACTCTTTAAATAACCACGTATTTAGAATCAGTGGATCCTTCGAGATCGTGGTGGGATTGTTGGGATTTTGGGAACTTAATTTTAACTTCAGGCATGGTTTCTGGATTCTTCCTCGCGGAGGGGTTGGTGTCTTCATTTTTGAAGTATTTTTTAACTGTTCTTTTAATTCACAAGAGGTTGGATTTCCTTTCACCACGTTTTAAAATTACTTTGTGACAGAAGACAAATGACAAGGAGCCAATGTTAAAGTAGGAAACAGAATTAAGGACAAACACTTGTACAGATAAATGTAAATTTCCCTTCTAATGTCCTCGTTATCAAAGAAACATTTCTTCTTGCATGAATCTATTTAAAACCTTTGATCAAGGCTAGTGGTAAATCCTTCTAGATATACATAAGCCATAAATGGAATAACGTTCATTTGAAATGGATTTAAAGTGCTCTGCAGAAATGTTCTCAATTTGGAAAAATACTGATCATTGGAGAAGGCTGGGGGGTGGAATGCCATTGGTCCCTCTGGGCGTGACACGAATCGCTTTTCGCGTAATTATTTGTTCAAAGTCCAGCGACTCCACCTCTATTGCTTATGTAACGCGTCACCCCTGCGTTGACGCTCGAAGGGTATCAATTGATGACGTACCCCGTCGTACAATTGATTAAACAACGAACGTTCCAGGACCAATACGTTGTTATCGTAAATACCAATCCTCCGTTACGCTCTGTTGCTCCCGTAACGCGGGTCTTCGAGGCATTCAATTTAAATTTCAATTATAAAAGTTTGTGCGGATGCGTTAATTGAAAAATTAAATACACTCATTTACGCGTGCTTTTATGCAAGCATGCCGGTATTGTTTTTCACCGTGGACAGAATATTTAATGAAATGTCACTTGCACCCCATTGCGTCCCCAACTCCCCCCGGCTGTCGCGAATGCTTAACTGTCTGTACGCAGCGGTTGAAGGGAATTTATTTAAACGGCTGCACAATCAGCTAACAGATTAGCAATTTAGAGTTGCCATTATGCGCGCGGCCGTGACAATATATTCGCGTTGAAAGAAGTTAATTACCGTGGTCTGGCAATTTTTCTCGCCCAAGATAAACGTAGACGATATTGCGAGGTAAACGTTAATTTGTACCATTTCCCTCGTCGAGTTGCAGTTTCGAGAGCAGCTTAATTCGTGAATTGGGCGGGTCTGAGTTGCTGTTTTATACATGTTTGGCATTAATTCTTCTACGCTATATTCGTACATTACTATAAAAATAAAAACAAAACATTGCTATTATTACAACAAATTTTATCTTACTATCTTAACATAATTCTCTTTGTGATCTATATTAAATGTAAATGAACTGAAGAATATATTTCAAATAACTCAGCATAAAGGTAAGCCTGATCTTGAGGACCTCTTGCACTGTTCATTTCAATGTAATAATAACCAAAGCATCCCAAAGACGTTCCCTTTGAATTTCTCAAACGAGCCCCCATTTTAAGCTAACTATACCTCTGCTCCTGCCTTTATCGAAGGTACTCAGGACGTGACCACCATCTACTGGCATCCCAGACAACGGAGCCCAGTGAGGATGGAGCGACGACTCCAGATTTCTCCAGCCCTCGACCAGAGGAAGGAACCATCCCCCCATCGACCACGCCAAAGAGTTCTTCGGTGATTACCATGCTGACAGGGTTCGGCGTGGTGTTCCTTCTCATCAACTTCACGGCATTCCTCTACCTGTACTGCAGAAAGCAGGAGGCGAAGGACAAAGAGGTCGGTCTGAAGAGACGGGTCAGCCAGAAAGACGACTCGAGGCGCGCGAAGTCGGAGAAATACGAGAACCACTACGGCGAGCTGGGCTACAAAAGCGACAGCAAGCCGGACCTCAACGACGTGATAAAGAACGACAAAGCGTACGACAACAACTCCAACTTCGGACGACGCTCGAAACTGTCCAGACAGAACTCGGGTTCTACGATAGACACTCACATCAAAGTTAGAGAGTGGATACAACAGGAGATCGTGCACAGGTTGGTAGCGGTGTCCAGTTTCGCATGATTGAACAGTTGGGGGAGGCCAATAGCTTCGAACTATCCAGAGTCTACCTACTGTAATCGCGCGGATTCGTGGGTCGAAGTCCTGGGCGACTTGGTGGATCGCGGACGAACTCGGTCGTCGAGCAGTCTGCTAATCCAATTAGCGGTTTCGCTTAAAGACTCGTCGCTTTGAGACGCGAGCTGATTCATCGGAAGCCGAACGTTCCCGGCGTTCCGGCTGCTTTCGTCTTTCGGGGTTCCACTAACCGAGCAGAATTTACTTAGTTGGGAGTTTTCGGCTCCCAAGCTGATCTGTATGTGAAGACTGCGTTGGAAGTTCTGATACTGGAAAATTGAGGATTTGGTTTCGATGAATTGCAAATGTTAGTGACATGGTTTCTGTTCAGGAGGGGGATTCTGGAAAGTGGGTCGGGACTGTAGCTCGTTTCTAAACGAAGTCACAAATATCGAGGCGAACGGCTCGATATGGGGGTCCTTTCAATGATATGTATATATATTTCCTTTTGGTGCAACGGTGCAAGCGTGCGTGACCCCGATCGAGTTCTTTCGGGATTCTTTGGCAAAGTGTGTTCTATTCGAAGACGCGGGGGATAAAATACAAACTATTTGGGCAAGTGTAACTGATATAGGAAAATGTAAAGAGGAGAGTAACTTAATGGTTAAAAGTTTTGATGGGATTACGTTTTCGATGGTTAGAACATGGTACTTTGAAAAATTTGTATGTAGGTATGTGCAATTTCGCTTAAGAAGTGCACGATGGACTTGCAGTGATGCACCAGAGAAATCTTAAAATTTGAATACTATAAATTATCTTTTCCTGTCCACGAAGGTGTTCGCCGAGGTTCCTCCGCAAGACGCGCGAAACCCTGCAGAGAGAGCATCAGGACAAGCTGACGAAGCAACAAGAGGAGGAGAAGAAGCGTCTTGAGGAGGAGATGCTGAAAGAGAAAAAGGAAGAGCCGATTTACGACGAGAATCTCGCGCTGGTCGTGCGTCCTGGCAAGAAGTCAAAGCTCCCAAAGGTCTCGGTGGCGATCGACGCCACACCCGCGACGAGGACGGAATCGATTCTGAACCAGGTGCCAATCGAGCTGACGAAGAGCGCCGAGCCCTCCGACGAGTCGTTCGAGAGAGGCTTCGAGTTTCAGACCGTTCCTCAGGTGGTTGTCATCGAGCACCATCACTCGAAGAGCGATCCGTTGCCAATGGAAAACGTCATAAGAAACGTGAAACCAAACTTTTCCACGCCTAGGATCTACGAGTCGGATTCAGGTAGCGCTAGCAGCCTGTACGCGAAGATTAACCCGAAATTGAAATCCAGGCTGCCTCGTTTGGAACTGGGCGTGAATCCAGAGGCATCCGTTGCAGACGAGGCGGAGGAGATTTACATAAAGACGGGACCGAAGCTGACCACTTTCGGCGCCAACAGTCCGCCGCCTTGCGACATAAACGTAACCTGCAGAGAGCCCGTGGTGGAAAGGAACTGTATCAGTCCTGAAGAGGCTCTACGGACAATCAAACGCAGGAACTACCCGAAAGTCCTTCCAGACATCGAGAAAAGGCGATCGCTGCCAGCACCTAGCAGTCTGTTCGCGCCCAAACAATACGTCCATTCGTTGAGGGACTACAGAGGTGGGCTGCATTCGTCCTCGTCCACCCATCATCCTCCCCAACCTCCTCCAAGGATATTCGGGCCGTCTAAGAGTCTGGAATTCGCGGAAGAGAGCGAGAATCACGACGAGGGAGAGTCAGTGACTACTAATCTCCACGTGGGGCCGTTGCTGAGGAGACAGGATGGCTCAACGAAAAACAACTCCGATCCTAGTATCATAGACTCCCTCGACGAGAGGATAGACAGGACAAACAGGTCCCAAGCTGGTGGTAGCGTCGACACCATTTACTCGAACCCCATGTGTCCTGTTCATGGGATAGGCCAACCGATTTCTCAGAGCATGGACAAGAACATTGGGCATCCTACGACTCTGCTGGAGACAGGGATGGGGAACCCGAATTGGTACAAGTCGCCTTCGTCTGGGAACGAAGCGGCGATGACCAGCGCGTTGTCAGAGCCAAAGATTATTGGGAGGGAGACGAGTAATCATTCTCAATTCGGTGGCTCCAACTGGGACACCAGAGTCCCAGGCATGGAACCCAGGATAGTGATCACTCCAAGGGTTGGAAATCTGCTGGGTCAAGCGAATCAAAACCTGAGTCAGACAGTGATGAACTTGACACGTGCATTCTCTGACGAAAGGGAGCCTATACCAGGTCCTGTGTACGATTCAACCCCTACGATCGGTCCACGTTCGACCGCCAGGTCCAATCCTGGATCAGCAGAGCAGCTGGAGACGGATCCCCTTACCAGGTGCATCTCTCCAGACTCCAGACTGCCCATCAACACGGAGAGAAAGGAACCAAGGATTATTATTACTCCTAGAGATCCAAAGGGATCTTCATCGAATCTGAAGCAGCCCAAGATCATCATCAAACCCACGTCCACCCTGCAGAGGACCAGGGACAACAGGAACATACCCAAAGTCTCAGCCATCCCCTCCCCAGAGGCTCAGTGCTCTCAGAGCTCTCTCGATCAGAGGGAGAAGCCTCCCCTCAAGGAGAAACCGAAGATCACGAGGATCCCTTCGATTTCCAGACGTCTGGAGGACTCATCCAGCGGAATCGAGAAGCCAACAGCCCCTGTGTACGCCGAGAAAACAGAAATTGTCCAGAGGGTGGAGGCTGTACCAAGCAAGGTCCCATACGCACCAGCAGCTGGCGATGGGAAGTCCAGCATTCCAACTTTCCTGAGGAGGGACCCTGAAATGTCGTCCAGCACGGACTCCAGCAACGGAAATTCCAATACGGGGACGATCAAGAAGAAGCCTGTCAACAGAAAATAAACTTCACTGATGGATCCGGATTTTTTGTTGAAGCCACGTGGTTCGTGCAAGCGTCGACGAGTGAAGTCGACTGGCGAGAAAAATGAGTTTGGCGGGATCTGGCGAGGATCGTTTAGGTTTTAGGACGATGAAAATTGGCTTGCTGGGACTGGTATTACCTGACGTTCAGATCCCTTGAATTATGAACAGTCTAAGCGTTATGAATTGCCAGGCGTCCCGAGGAAAAAAACGTGAACGAAATAATAGAGCGGGATCAGCTTTGTGTTTAATTAATACTGGCACGTAACAGGGGGAATAACATGTTTGGTGGAGGTTGTTCTTGTCGTTGATAAAAATATGACGACGTACCCGTGACGAATGGACGTGTTTTGTTTTTATCAAATTTATCCAATTTCCTGGAAAATGGAGACGCGTGGAAACGGATTATACGCTTGATATGTTTGAAGGTTTCGTTCGAATCGGACCAGTTTATTTTTCAATTAGAGCGGAAGCTATTCTTTATTTATTTACGCCATAAGTAAAATGGATGATAAAATTCACCTACTATTTTAGGCAGATGATCAAAGGCGATATGACAGTTCTTACAATTCCAGATTGTGTAAATAATTTACTCACGAATACTTCATGGTCTTTAAACAGATCTGTAGAAAACACCTTTTTGTACTCTTGAAAGTAGTAAAAACACTTTAAGCTTTTGTACTAACATTGGATAAAACTTCTTCGCCGACTATTCGTTCATAACCCGTCAAGACTGTACTCACGTATGCGTTAAGTATTAGTTCCTTATCTACCTTATCTCGTGCAATTTTTCTACTCTTGTATGACCGTTGATATAAATTAATTTTAAGCACAATCGCAATTTACCCATACACTTTAATTGTACTCGCACCGCCTGGAGACGTCCACGATAGTTTTGTACGTTTGTTAGCTTGTACTTGACTGAAATAAACGATTTTCGTACTCTTTTTCCAGTAGATTACCAAAGGCTGAGTGCGTCCCGAGCGAAGTGTCGCGGCGATGTTTCGGTTATCATTTTTCAGTACGCTGCCGGCGTACCATTTATCTTGCAACTTTACCTTTATCCGAGGGGGAACTTTATTATTAAGTAAAACAAAGTCTATAAGTCACGACGGTGGCCGTGCGCTCGCGGTGCCTGTCTGGAAAATGTGGGCGGACGTGAAAACGGCCAGTACACCTCGCCACTCCTCCATTCTAGCGCCGTACGCTTCGCGAATCGAATTGATTCTCGAAGTTCCGGTCTAGTAATGCGATTTCCCTGCCGGCCGATAAAGAAAACTTTATTCTCCTTGTCCTACCTTCTCTCTGATTACCTACGGAGCCGATTTATCTTACCAATCAAACGACGGAATTGACTTTAAAGAGAATTGACACAAGAGAGAAATTTAGGTTCCTCCCTCCCTGCGGATAAAGAAGATCGATCGGGTGATTACACTCGCTCGCTCTCGCCTCATTAAATATACAACCATTTCATGCAGCTGGACGATGGAAACCGAGTTGGAAATTTGTGGCAAAGGGAACGATTTATTAAACGCTTCTCGGAGGATTAAATTATCCACGGTGGGAAGGTTTCAACGAAACTCGTACCTTTGTCTTAACGTTGAGCAGTTTCGCGGAGTGTTTCATATCGTGCGCAGTATTTTCCCTCGCATTTTTATCGCGTATAAACCGACCAGTCAAGCAAACTATAACAGCGATACTCGATTGAAATATCGTAATGGCCGAGCACGCGAGGATATTGTCCCGTAAAATGTGTATCGCAGCTGAAACAATAGGCTATGAGTGAATCGGTGACGTTTACAAGGTCCTTTATCGCGAGAGGTTCGCAAATATCAGCCTTCCGTCATATTTACCCAGCGAATACATACAAATTCGTAAAAGTCGCGGACGTTTATTCGGAGCCGATCCTATTCGATGGAGAAACGACGCAAACTTTGCATCCTATTTATCTACTTCGCGCTAGGAACTCTCCAGGCGTTCAATTCTTTGCGTTCTGCCCCACCAAAGATAGACCACCCTTCTGTATTCCCGTCGATAATGGAAAGAGGAAATTTTACTCTAATACAATTTATGCTGCAATATGTAGAAGCCTTGAGAAAAACGCGTACTAAAAGGAAATCCTCAATTCTTGTTATTTATCACACACATAACACTGACACCCAGGCAAATTTTTACCCCAAGGTTTCTAGGTTCTTCGTGTACTGCAATATCTCAGGGTAAACGGCTGGGGCTCGCTTTCTCTACTTTCGATTCATTTTTGGAGGCACTTTGGGAGGCAGTCTCTAGTCCAAAATTATTACGCGCGGAATTTCTCGGTTTTAGTTAAAAAAAATAAGGTGAAATGAATGTTTGTATCACTGATTTCCTTAAATTTTAAAAAATTTGTAGCCTCTGCCAATTGCTTCTCAGCTGAAACCCCAAAGAATTCTCATGTAAATAGCGAAGAAACTGAAGGAGGAATCTCAGAAGCCACCAAAAAGCATCGAAAAAGTCTACGTCACGAACCGCGATAACCAGCGATACATTACGCCCGCGTCACAATCATCTGAAACGTGCCATTGACTGCAGCGAAGGGATTTCAGCGAATACTTGGGCTATATCTAAAGTGACACAGCGGAACATTCGCCCAGCGTCGACGCATCTCGTAATTCATCGTGATTCATTGTTTACACGTTACGGGTACACGGCAAGAGCGAACGCGAACCGATGAAAGTTCGAGGCATCCACGGAATACCAAATCGAAGTCTCGGGCTGTCGAGTGTACGGATGAACTCTCGATTTGCCAGCTGGCGTAATGGCTCGGATCTGATAAATTTGTTCGACGTTTAATGGAACGGGGCACGTGGTCTTCACGAGGCAAGTTTCCATCCGCTGATGGCTCGCTTACGGCAGTTTCGGTTCGATGAAGAACGGGGATCGCAGGCCACTCGTGGAATTATTTCGCGAATAGAACCGCCACGCTTAATTACCATGCAAATATAGAAATTTAATTAAACATCTCTCCTAGGACGCGCTTTGGAGCAACGAGACAAGGGCAATTATTTTGCAAATACCCGCTGTCTAAAGAGTTAATTTGAAAGCACCGTCGACCTCCGGTTATGAATTTAATTCACATTATACTCGCGGCTCGTATTGCGTCAAAGGAAAAGGCGAAATCGGTGGCGGGGTGCATCTGTCTAGGCGACTCCAAGTGCATCGGGACGCACACCTGCACATACGTCGCGCACGTGCGAATGCACAACGGGAAAATATATCCAGAGGCAGCGTCGAGCCAATTTGCATTGCTAAACGTCGCTTCACGTTCGATTCGCTTCTGGCTCCTTCGGTTTCAATGTTTGCAAGCGCAGATATGCATGTACTCCAGACTGGAGAGAGAGACGGCGAGTTCCAAGGGGTGGCAAACGCCTTTATAGTCCTGGGGCCTGCTAAGATATTCGCACACGTCGACTTGCACAGTGATTCCATGCGATGACCAACTCATACGAGCTGTTGAGGATTGGAACTAAAGATACATTAACGTGATACTCTCATTTAGAAAAATAATTTAGCTTTTGGTTTGGATTTTTAGAGAAAATTAATTCACTAACAAAGCAGATGAGACAATAAAAGTACTCGATTTATATTATGTGCAAGAGGGTACAAATACTGTCTCGACTCATTCGAGCCAGTGAATCTCGTATCGATCGAATTCATCGCCACTAACTAAGCCGTTATTTTTACACGAGCTAGCGCGACCAAACAGTGATAAACTCTAAGAACGCGTTACATGGTTGACCGACAGCGAAACCAAGACAAATCGCTGGACGGGGCGGGCGAGCGGAAACCAAGGGAGAATCTGGAAACAGAGAAACAGGAAACGGCGAGAACTGAACCGAACGATTACCAAGCATTAGTTACGGAGAGAGCGCAAACGCAGTTCCTGGGCGCAGCAGTTTGGAAAGCTGTAATTACAAGACAACTCCTCGTTCTATGGTTGACGTGGGCGGATTAGCGGCAACGAGTGCTTACGCAAGGTCGCAAAACTATCGTCCACCGAGCGTTCGGTGAGCTTGACGAACGTGTGATTCGTTCCGGGGATGATCTACGATTAGGGGCGGGAAACAGGATCGATTGTTACTACGCTGAGATAATTGGCGGAAAATATAATAGATCAAAAAAGAGGTGTGCTTTTATTCTTGGCTTTATAGTATCCTTTGCACTCCGAATTATATTTCAATTTCGTTACCAGCAATTTAAATAAGTAAAGAAAGGAACAAATTCACTTAAATATCAATTTTATTCTCACTTTTGTTGTATTCTGTAGTTTTCAAGCTCCTGAGATAAAAACTGATATCGAGTCACACTCGACGAGCGCAAAGTTTTAAGAAACATAATTAAATCAAGATCAAGGAACAACGTTCATTTACTGCATGTGGAAGGTACAAGCGTTGTTGTCCTATTTCATTTTGTTGATTCTGTTCCCATTGTATCTAAATAGAATGGGATGCAAGGGGATGTAGACGAAACCTAGTGACTGGAGCATTGCCTGTGTGTGGAGATAAATTGGACGGCAGTAAATTAAATAACTATAGAGGAGTCTTAGAATGAAGGATCTTGCAATCAAGTCAACAGACACGAAGGATCCATCTCTGCTACAGATTCAGCCAGCCATATCGTTGAAATGGAGGAGTTACACGCACTTGCAAACACAGTGGATTAAACGAAGTCACGAATTATGGGTACACCGAATAAGGGACTGTAGTAGAGGAAAAAGAACCAGAATGCTAATATCAAGCATTAATATCGTTCACAAGGTGGTACATAAGGTATCGACGAAATGTCTTTTATGAAAAGGTTTGCCCTCCAGTGAGGGAATTATGCGAGGGTCGCCATCGCTGATCTGCATGAAAGGATCGATGGCGTGAGACTTGAACTTGGCGATACTGAAAGCTGACGGTGCTAAGGTTGGAGAAAGTGGACATTTCGCTGTGTTATTTGCTATAGCGCCATCCGTGAAGCTCGTCAGCCTATCGTCCAGGCTCTCACGGACATCGAGGAACTCGAGGGGATGGGCCATCGATTTGTAGGTCGAGTGGTCACGTCGATAGGAAAGGTCGTTCCACTTTCGAGATACTTTTAATATATACGCCGAAGGATCGGAGAATATTATTGTGATCCTTTCGGGAGGAAGGGACTCGGTCGGGTACACGTAACGTCAACCCTCTTCGCCACACAAATTCACGTCTCGGCTTGAAATATCAACCGCAATACCACGAACACGGGATTATAGGAGGCCTATAATCAATGTCTATTAAGCCCTCAGTCGTTTCCTACACCTTCCAAATCTTCTTTACGATTTAGAATACTTGTCGATGTTGCCACTTTTTTTTGGCGCACGTTAAACAAGCTCGCTGGACGAGCGAAGTTCCGTGATCCTGCCATAAATCCAGGGCGACCACTGGCTGACGCGAACGCATACATCATGAATTATTCCCGATGTTTTGGTACCGCGAATTATTCATAAGAAAACAAATGCAGGCCAGTGTAGTTCGGGCTACGGTAGGAAAGAAACTATAAATCTGTCTGGTCGTGTTTTCCTTCCCATCCCATGAGTATCGAAAATCTTGTTTTAATTTTGTCGAGGTACGTACGCGCGCTCCCAACTCCTGTATTCCGCGTTCCGAAGTCACATCACAAGAATCACTTCCAAATGAATTCCGAAAGAAGGAGAATCTTAATACAGTATACCGTATAATGTTTGAAAATCGGGATATCTGTTACCGATATTTTTCTGTTGACTTCGTATGGTACAAAAATAAAAAAGAGGATCATGTTCCGATCAAGGCATCGCTTGGTTTTGGATAAATTAGAAGAGAATAGACAAGATAGACAAGAAGGAGTTCGCCATTTGAGCCCACAATGAAACGAGATCTACACGTGTAATTGC